TGCTAAAGGTCCCGGGACCTGGCCGTGCTCTCTCCCTAGCTGGCACAATGGGGGCAGCTCTGCTCCTTGTGGCCATGTGCGCGCCGGGCCAGGCCACACCACGCCAGGACATGCCGTCCTACGCAGACACCGTGGGCACCAGCAGCCAGTGGTTCCCGGGCACCAAGGACTACATACCTGAGCCTGGAGGGTGTGGTGGCCTTTACCCAGCCCAGGTGTGGAAACTGACCTGGATACACAGAGCATCTGGTGTCACCGCTCACCCCCCCACCCCCGCGAACATTCGTCCGAGCCCTCATAAGGGATGTGGCTGGCCTGAGCCCCCTCGGGGGGGCACGGGGAGGCAGCAGAGCCAATGGGAAGGCAGAAATATGCCCCTCACATGTGTCGCCTCTGTGACGTATTCAGTTTGGGGGGGCAATGCCCTCATACCCTCCCCATCTCCGCCTATGCACAGATGCCCCCCCTGCCCTCGCTAAATGGCCCCCCTGACCCCAGCCCCCATCAGTTCTGTCCTCACCCTCCACCAGTTCACCCCCCACCTCACCACAATTCAGCCCCACCCCTATTCCAGGGCTTCCACACTCCTGAAGAGCCACAACCCTTATCTCAGGGCTCCTGTGAATGCTTCCCAGGCTTCTCTGCCTGCAAGATCTACCCCTGCTGAGTGCCTCCAGGGTCACCCTCTTGGGTTTGGCCTGTCCCTGGCTGAACTGGTTCTTCCCCTACCCTGCATGAGCCTTCTTCCTGGCAGGTTCCTCAGTTTTGGCCAATTCTGTGACATCTTGTCTGCACCAGCTCTTCTCCCCCAAGTGGCTTCCAACTACTGCTCTCACAGTATTCATGCAACTGTCTACGGAGACCCTGCTGCCACTTCCTGCTATCCCTTTCTTCTTCTTCTCCCCGTACTGCTCCCTGGCTCTTTAAAATGGCCAGGTGCCCTCCTATTGGGAGGCAGCTAATGAGTCATAGGTGAACTGAACTCGTTCCCTCTTAAAGGGGCCAGTCACTCTGTGACAGGACAGTTGTCCAAAATGGGAAGTTAGTTCACCCTTTGCACCCATTCACAAATTGTTCCCTCTGCTGAGAGACAACTGACAAAGATGCCAATTGTTGTAGTAGTTTTTGTGACGTTGGCCAGTAGAAACTGGACTAAAACAATCTCATTTCACAGACATAGTGCAAGAGTCATCAGATGATAATGACTTTTGACCTCTATCTTCTGTATTTGATTTAGAGGTGAAATGCTCCATTCCCAATTGCTAATCCCACGAGCCACTTATTCCATCATTTGTGATTCCCTATTAGAAACTTGAAAATACTTTTCCTCCCATTGATTTTGTACTTTTCCATTTGGCAAACTCCAGTTTCTTGAATGGCACTGAAATTAAAATGGTGGCTTTTGTTCAACGACATATTCAACTCACATACTGCCTTGCCAAGCCAAAACACATTTGTTTTTGCACAAAAAGCATTGGTTCTGTCTAGACCTGGTTGGAAAATATTATTTTTTCCCCTTTTGAAAATTTCGATGCAAATGAAAATTGTTGATAAAACTTTTTGAGGAATTTTAAAGAATTTTTTTGTTGAATAACAAACAAACAAATACACAAACAAGCCAACAGCCTTGAAAATAAAAATTGTGGTTGCCAGCAAAAAACGTATAATTTTCAATAAAAAACAATTTTTGGTGAAAATTTCCGATTCAACGAAAAGCCATTTTCCATTAAAAAGCAAAACGAAACAAAAACCAAAAAGCTAAAAAAGAACAACAACAAAACCTTTGAATGCAATTTTTTGGACTCTAGTTAACTATTTAGAGTCTTACGTTGTGCCCACCACCATGGTATCTGATCCCCCGCTGGCTCTGAGAAGTGTATGGGTTAATGAACCCATTGCTGCTGAGGAGAGGTTAAATCAGTGTGTTGTCAGTCCTATGAAAACAACCACTTTGTGAAAATGCATTTCTTTGCATGTCTTAATGTGTGTTAATTTGATTAAATTAGGCATTTAGGGCCTGATTGGCCCCTCACTTTCAAATGACCCTATTATTATACCAAGTACCCATAAAACTCCAAGATCTTTGTCATGCAGCTCCCATTTTATTGTATGTGACACATTCCGAAGTGAATTAAATAATTTCTCCAAAGACACTTTTAATTCTTTTTTTTTTAATGTATAACAGTTATGCCTGAGTTACAGAGAGACACCTACAGGCAGCAGGTAGTTAAAGCAAATACCAGTTTCTCTTTCTATTCTACTACTCCATATAGCTGAATAAATTATGGTGCGATTATATATATACACACACGCACGCACACCCACGCACGCACACACACACACACGCATACACATGGAGCAAAATGGCTATGAGTCAAACACAGAAGCAACATATCCGCAGTTACTAGGAATAAGGAATGTTCTATAGTGCTATGTAGATATTCCCCAGATGGGTATATGGAGGTGTTAGGGGTGATGGGTTAAAAGCATTAAATACACAAAGTCTCTGAACAACAGGGGCTAATCTGCTGAGCAGCAGAACATGGTGAGATAGTGACCAGCATGGTCTCGGAATGGTGCCGGTGGGTGGGGAGATAAAGCAAATCCGTTACTTCTTCTCCCACAAGGATCGTGTTCACAGGCCTGGAAAAAAATCATCCTGGGAGAACGTCCATTGAATGTGTCCTTCAGTTGGTTTGTTTTTATTAAGCGCGGGATTTGTTTGGGTTCCCAGGTGTCCCTGCATCCCCATGGTTGGAATGTCTGCTCATGGCCAGTTCATTTCACTTCAAGTGACTCTGGCCAGGCGTTCTCCAGTCTCCTGTGAGTCCGATGCTTGCCCGTTGCCAAGAGCCGCGGTTCCACCCTTCCTAGCGCTTCGCCTTTAGCGCATCGCTCCCTCCATTTTGCTTCCCCACCTCATCCCCCAAGTTTGTCTTTTTTTCAGCAGAACTGAGGTTGGCAATCCATAAAACAAAACAAAACAAAACAAAATCTTTTGACTTTCATACATTAATGTACCTTAAAAAATTAAAACACAAAAAAACACCCCCCCCCACCCACAAAAACAAACCCATCCCACCCCAAAGATTCTGGAATGTATTTTGAAAACACACGATATGCAAATTTCTACGGTTTGCCCCGTTTTTTTTTAAACTAGCACAGCACTCACTGTGTTTTTAGTATATAAAAAAACTCAACTTTCTATAAACATACAGCACATGACCAAATATCCAACTAATGTACATAAGTGCGACCTCAGGGAGAGGGTCAGAGAATAGCTATTCGCATGGGGCGTTTTTCATATTCCTCTAAGAACTCTATTTACAACAGCAGCCAGGATGTTCGTGGACTTTCTGGTGAAGGTAATTGGTAAACGGATTTCTATAACGCTCCCGCTTTTTAAGACTCTTTATCTTAGGCTCCTGCACTCTGGCTCTTAGCTTAACTGAAGTTGTCTGTTAACAACATACCCACTACTAGAACCTGCTGTATGCTGTTGAGGGCCACCTTACAGACTGGGAGCTGTTGTGTGTCTGTTGCTTTTGTGTATATGCACACACAAGTATACAAGAAAACAAGGTGGGGAAAAGAGGAAGCGCACCTTTTTGTGGGTGGGATCAGTGGCCAACCGTTTCTTGTTACAAGGTGGGTCTTTCCTGCTGGTTGTACCATATAGCAGGTGACGAGAAATCAGTTTAGTCAAAAATGGCTTTAATTAGTTGAAGTATAAAATGGCTTTTAGGACTTGGCATATTACTAGAGCTTTTTAATTGGCTGTCAGTGATAACAATGCTCAGTTAATGCGGGGGGCTAACATTTTCCCTCTGTACATTACATTTCCTAACAGCACCAAGACATGTCAGGCTGTAGATTTCTAGGGCGTGACAGCCCTTCTTGGGTGCTTATGGTCACTCAGCCGTCAATATTTTTTGCTGACTAACGCAGTTCGTGGCACACAGTAAAATCATCCCCAAATGCACATGTTTTATGGCTGCAGCAGTACTTACTGGTGTCTGTTAAAAAACCACAGGTAACCATGAGGTACTGGAGCAGGTTAAAATGGATGTTTCAGTCACGGACCCCATGGGCTATCTCACGGAAACACCCTAGCCTCTGCTTTGAGTTTCCAGATGTTCCTTTGATTCTCCAGTTTAGATGTGGTTGGGGTAATAATGTTATTATAGGTTTCAGAGTAGCAGCCGTGTTAGTCTGTATCCGCAAAAAGAAGAACAGGAGTACTTGTGGCACCTTAGAGACTAACAAATTTATTAGAGC